CTCTCTCGCTCTCTCTCTCGCTCTCTCTCTCTCACTCGATCTCTCGCTCGATCTCTCGCTCGATCTCTCTCTCGCTCGCTCGATCTCTCTCTCTCGCTCTCTCTCTCTCGCTCGATCTCTCGCTCTCGCTCTCTCGCTCGATCTCTCGCTCTCTCTCGCTCTCTCGCTCTCTCTCGCTCGCTCGATCTCTCTCTCTCGCTCTCTCTCTCTCGCTCGATCTCTCGCTCTCGCTCTCTCGCTCGATCTCTCGCTCTCTCTCGCTCTCTCGCTCTCTCTCGCTCGCTCGATCTCTCTCTCGCTCGCTCTCTCTCTCGCTCGATCTCTCTCTCGCTCCCTCGCTCTCTCGCTCGCTCGATCTCTCGCTCGATCTCTCGCTCGATCTCTCTCTCGCTCGATCTCTCTCTCGCTCGCTCGATCTCTTGCTCTCTCTCTCTGTTTTCAGAAAGCAAGCGTGTTTATCCAGTGGAGAGAGAGAGCGTGTGAGCACAGGGTTGCCAGGTTGACAAAGATAAGTAGCACATTTAGCAGATATTTCCATATTGCGAAAGTGTGAAGCTCTGTTTCGGGGATTACGTCTCTTTTTATCAGGCAACCCCGTTGTGTTCCTCTGCGGCCAGATTATTAACAGATGCTCTATTCATTATTTTTTAGAAACCTCGCACATTTCTACTAAATTTTAAACGTTGTAAAATTAAGCTTGGTCCACTGCTGCACACGTGCCACAGTATCGATACAGGGCCATACTCGTATTCGATACTCGTATCGTCAGATCTCTGTGACGATACATCGTCGTATCGATATTTTGAACACAGCACTTGTTGACACACACACTCTCAGCTGCTGCGTCTGAACTCTTGTAACACATGACACACATGCAGCGTTATATAACACTAATGCTCCTCGGATGGGAGTTTAAGAGCTGACGCTGAGCAGAGGTTTCCACTCGTTTAGATGCCGCGGACACAAATATGATCATCCTCGTGCGAAGGACCCCCATCCTATAGATGTTCTTGTGTAAATTATTTCGCTTCTATTACGTTACATTAGTAAAAAAAAATTTTCCAATTCACTCTATAGTACTGTTGTGTTATTTATTTAAATTAGTTTTATTGTTTATTTACTTTTATAATTTATTTATTTATTTGAATAAAGTTTTAATTTATTTGAATCGGGTTTCTAACATTTTTAAAATTAGTTTTAGTATTTTTATTTCTTTATTTAGATCTTATTTGTTTAGTTACTTTCATTTATTTATTTTTTCAGTTTATTTATTTGAATCATTTTTAATGATTTTATTTATTCATTTTTATTTTATTATATTTATTCAGTTAGGTTCTATTTTTTACTTTTTATATATTTTTATTTTTTATTTTTATGTAATCATTTGAAAAATGTATTTGTCTTTTTTTAATTTGTCTTATTATTCATTAATTATCTATTTTTATTTATTTTAATAATTTTAACTTAGTTATTTTGATTTTTAAATTACTTATGTTTATTTTAATCAAGTTTAATCATTTTGTATTTAGTTACTTTTTATTTTTCTTGTCTTTTTTTTTTAAATCAGGTTTTTATTTATTGTAAAATATATAAATTTTTATTTTTATTATAATGATTTATTTAGCTAGATAAAATGTTTATTTATCGATTTTTCTTTTTTCTTTTACTCAAGTTTTCATTTTTAATCATTTTTTATGATTGTTTCATTTTTATATTTTTATATAATATATATTATGTAAAATAATATCATTTATTTGAAATGAGCATTTTTATTTTATTTTAATTAATTAATTCATTTAGTTAGTTAATTAGATATTTATTATTTATTTATTTTTACCCTTAAACCTCAGTTTGAAACCCCTGATCTAGAGAGGACGATGGCTGATATAATGCTAATATTTTACAAGCAGTTCAGTTAAATATCATCTGATTTGTCGGCCAGATATATCGGTCCATCACTACTGAATATGAAGCGGATTTATTGTACTTGGGCAGATGAGAGGGAGATCCTGGATTATTTATTATTCTGTCATATTTCATTGCTTTGTTTCATGTGTTTCCGTCCACAGCTGTCCAACACCAACTTCTCCAACAACAGGGACTTCCGCTCGTTTCTGCAGTCGCTCCTCGCCACGTTTGAGGAGTTCAAGATGCACGAGCAGATCGAGAACGAGTGCATCATGGAGCTGCTGCAGGAGCGCAGTCAGACCGTGTATCACGTGCACGCCGACAACAAGCTCTCTGAGATGCTGTCGCTCTTCCAGAAGGGGCTGCGCAGCGTCAAGGTGTGTGTGAGAGAGAGAGAGAGAGTGTCTGTCTGTGTGTCTGTCTGTGTGTGCCTGTGTGTCTGTCTGTCTGTCTGTCTGTCTGTGTCTGTGTGTCTGTCTGTGTGTGTGTGTGTCTGTCTGTCTGTCTATGTGTCTGTCTGTCTGTGTCTGTCTCTGTGTGTCTGTCTGTCTGTGTCTGTCTGTCTGTATGTGTCTGTCTGTCTGTCT